AGTCATGTCAGACTCTGTGAACCCATTTGGGGTTTTCTTGGCAAAGATGCTGGAGCGGTTTGCCATTTCCTTCTCCAGTTCATTTTATAGATGAAGAACTGAAGCAAAACAGGGTTAAGTGACTTGCCCAGGGTTCAACAGCTACTAAGTGTCTGGGGCCAGATTTGAACCCAGAAAGATGAGTCTTCCTGATTGCAGGCCCAGTGCTCTGTCCATTGTGCCAGCTAACTGCCCTCTTAATTATTTCCTGTTAATCCTCTATATAGCTTGCTTTCTTTTTGTTTGCATATTGTCTCCCTTATTAGATTTTAAACTCCTTGAGGGCAGAGACTGTCTTTTGCTTCTTTTTGTATCCCTGTGCTTAGTACAGTGCCTGGCACATAGGAGGTGCTTAATAAATGTTTATTGATTGATTGAAATGTGCAGAGGGAAGGCATGGAATATTGAATTTAGGAAACAGAGTTGTCTAATTTGACTAGAACCCAAAAGGCATGAAGGGGAGTCATGTGAAAGAAGAGTGAAAGGCAGGTTGAAGTTAGACTCTAGAGGACCTTAAATGACTGGCTGAGAAATCTGTGTTTATGCTAGAGACCACAAAAGGATTACAAGCATGGACAAATTTGTGTCTGTCCAATCCAGAAGATTATTTTGGCAGTTGTACAGAGGATGGGTTGAAGAGAGGGCATATTGGAAAAAGGGATTCCAGTTAGGAGACTATCCCAGTAGCCTGGATGGGGAAAGCCTAGCCAGGGATGGGGAACCTGCAGCCTCAAGGCCACATGTGGACCTCTAGGTCCTCAAGTGCAGGACTTTGACTGAACCCAAATTTCACAGAACAGATCCCCTTAAATAAAAGGATATATTCTATAAAACTTTGACTCAGTCAAGAGGCTGTACCCAAGGACCTAGAATGTCACGTGTAACCTTGAGGCCACAAGTTCCCCACCCCTGGTCTAGACTATGATGGATTCCATGGGTGTGGAAAGAAGGGGTCAGATTGTTCCTTTACTGGATCTGCATGAGGGGAACGACCCAAGGGGGCTGGAATGGGCCTGAGCACTGGATTTAGATGCCAGTCATAAGAGAAGGCAACTGACAAGTCAACAAGCATTTCCTAAGTGCCTACTATGTGCTAAACTCTGTGCCAAGTGCAGTGATGTGAGATGTGAGAGATATTGTGAGGGCAGAAGTGATAAGCATTGGCCACTGATTGCTATAGGACAATAGGAGTTGGGCAAAGGAGAGGGAGGAGCCAAGGATGGCTCCCAAGGGAGAAAGTTTGGAGGGAGGGGTAGAGTTAGGGAGAAAGATAGTTGGTTCCATTTTGGAAATAATGAGTTTAAGATGCCTACAGGATATCTAGAAGCAGATGACCAGCAGCAGTTGGTGATACTGGATTAGAGTTCAAGGGAGGAATTAGGATCAGATAAAAAGATTTGGAATCATCTGTACAGAAGTGATCCTGGATCTGTGGGATCTGATGAGATCCCCCTTTGAGAGCGTTTAGAGAGATAACAAAAGAAGGCTCATGACTGAACCTTGAAGACCAGCCAATCAGCTCTGCCCATACCGAGGGAGAATGGCTGGGGAAAAGGAGGGTCTATCGACTCACCCACACACTTCCCATGAGTCTCTTCCATACTTTGTCCAGTCACTTCTCAAAGTTCTAAAACTGGGTGACCTCTCCACTTTGAGGCTTCTCTGGAGTGGTCTTTTGTTTAACCCCAGCTCTCTCAATCATCTCTGGAGCAGATTCAGATTCTCTTCTACTCCTTGAACTAGAAGGGACCTTAGAACATAGGATGTTAGGGCTGGAATTGACCTCAGAGTTGGAGAAGACCCAAATCCTGAGGTACATTCCAGCTCTGACTTTCTCTGTTCTAAGGGCCCTTTCAGCCCTGATGTTCAGTTTTCTTAGACACTATTTAGTCCAGTCTCCTCATTTTACATAATGAAAAAAACTGAAGCCCACAGAGGGGAATGTGATTTCCTCGAGGCCATATAGCTAAAACACATCACAGCCAGGACTGCGACCCAGAGGCTCTGCCTTCTGCCTTCCCATCTCCATGGTTGGGAAGTTTGAATTTACTCAAAGGTACATCAGCCAAATGTGATTGATGTTGACTGTTCAGTTTAGTGATCAAACAGTGAAACAGAACACCTGAAAAACCAACCTCAAGATTTTCTTTTATTTTAGTAAAAACCCCAAATATAAAAATACAGTACGTTCAGTGCAGCAATTTGGTCAATGTACAGTTAATAGTTCCAGAAAACAATTACTATACTAAAAGGGGTAGGGTGGCTAAAGAAAGGTTTTATGAAACCTTATCCAACTAACATAACCTGAATTAATATTAAGTTAGTTTGACTAGCATATAATTAATTATGAACCAATATTTTGAGCTATATATATATTTGCCTGTCAGTATTATTAGTAAAATACTTTTATGTAGGAAAAATACCCAACTAGTGAGGGGTTAAGGAAATATTTCAGTGTTATCTACATTTTGTCACAGAGTGAAAGCACCCCAAACAGGCTTAAGACATTGCTGCATGCATTAGAAAGGGAGACTACCAGGATTTTCAGTATATTTCTTCTGGCTATGTGGACAGTGAACTTTTTGATATGTATTTGCCAAAGAATGTTTGATTTTTGGGTTACTACAGGTGGCTCCTGATGGGATATAAGTCAGGTCTGGGAAAGTTTTTCTTTGTTTACTGGATCTACATGAGAAGAATGGCCCAGTGGAGCTGGCATGAACGTGTGTACTGGATTTGGATACCAGCCAGAAGAAGAGACAATTGATACCTCACAGCCATTTATCCGTGAGAGAAAGAGGGACAGAGGGCCCTTTCAGGCCTATCTCCATTACAAAGGAGAAAACAAATGGTCATGGTGGTGGTGGGTATGAAGGATTCAGATCAAGGTCAAGGCAGCAGAGCTGGGTCCTTTGGGTCTTCAGGGGGAATGAAGTCTACTTTTGTTAGGTGGTATTTCTAAGGGAAAGGACATATGATAGTAGCTCCCATTTAGACAGCATTTGAAGATTCAATATTTGTTTGAAGTCCTTTTCCGGTGCCCCACTGTAGTGTGCAGGTGACCCGGAACTCGCAAACGTTTTGTCAGTGGAATACATGCTTCTTACTAAGCAGGAAGTATGGTCCATGTGACTGTGTGCCTGTCATTCAAGGACTGGAGTAGCTCCATTCAGAGAGCTGCCTCACCAGGTTGGGCATAAGTTAATGAACTTTTCAGCTACCGCAGCTCTCAAAGACTGTGGGAGGTTGCGATCTGCATTGGTGGTGGTGGGAGGGTACCAATGAGAACAAAATCACCGGTCCTTTAAAGGTTGAAGATTGCAAATTAAGAGAGAGACAAAAGGTGGTCTTGAAACCTATTCCATGGTGAGTCATTTCTCATCTCTGTCATCTCAACTGTGAAGAAAAATTCATCTGTATTACGAAGCTTGGGAGAGGGGTTCAGTGGACCCTTCAATGTCACAGTACAACAAGTAAGTTTAGTAGGGTGATGTTGGAAGCTGTGCCTGGCTTTGTCCTGGGAATGAAGTGATGTTGATGGGATCTAGTCAACTCCAAGTTGAATATGTCAATAGCATGAGGTGGCCATCCCAACAGCTGCATTATATAGGCTATTATACAGGCATAATGCTAGAGGCAGAATATTCAGAATAATGGAGGCAACTATCCCACTGTCCTCTGTCTTAGAGCACAACCAGAGTATTGTGTCCAATTTGAGGCATGATGCTGACTAATTAGGGCATATTCAGGGGAGGGGGATCAGGTTGGTGAGATGCTTCAGGGTCATGCCCCTTCACCATGGGTGAAGGTACTGGGGGACGGTCAGTCTTCAGGAAAGAAAACTTAGGCATATTCCTTAGGGAAAACACAAGCTAGCTGTTTGCAAGTGTTTGAAGGGCCACCATGATGAAGGATAAGAATTAGTGTGTTTGGACTCAGAGGACAGAATTAGGAGAAATTAGGCAGAATTATAATTAGGTGGAAGTTGCAGGGGCAGATTTTACCTCTGCCTAAGAAAAACTTCCTAACACTTGGAACTGTCCAAAAGTAGAATGGATTGCTTTGGGAGGTAGGAGTTTTCCTTCCCTGGGGGTCTTTGAGCAAAGGCCATCTGAGCAGTTTTCTGGGATTTTGTAGCAGGTATGGGGTTGGAATATATGACCTCTGAGATCATTTCCAACTCTGAGATTGTGTGTGTGTGTGTGTGTGTGTGTGTGTGTGTGTGTGTGTGTGTTTGGAAGAGGATTTATTCACAAAGGTGAATACAGACTTGATTGATGGATGCATTTCTGTTTCTAAGAGGTAAGAATGTGTGTGTGTGTGTGTGTGTGTGTGTGTGTGTGTGTGTGTGATTTCTGAGATACTCTGGGGCTTCACTGAAAGAAAATAGCCCAGTTAGCTGGATAGATCACATCCAGAGGCTGCAGGTCACCAAGTTCACTTCTCTGTAGGCATGGAACCCAAACCAGAGTGACCTAGAAGATGCTATTCATTAAGGAAGCTCCTGAGAATTTTAACCACTTTAACCTCCAAAGTCTGAAGATGTCACAGTGGTTAGAAGATTTAAGGACCTGAGTGTGGTGTGTGGGGAAAATCCAACTTATACTGTTGGTTCAGAGAGAGTAAGGATGACCTATGAAGATTTACTAGCAAATTTGAAGCAGAACAAACGCAGTTGACTTGGCTTCCCATAGACATCTTCTCTCCCAAGCATTGTGTGGTACTGAGCTGTCAGCTGTTGCTTAGTTGGCGTGGCAAACCAGGTAGAAGTCGGTAATTTGCTGTCTTCCATGGTATCTGCCATCAGGTAGATGGTGGTGCCTTCATTGTCAGAATGGCCATATTTTTCACAGAATCCCAGGTTATAGAGTGGGAAGAGACCTTAGACATTGTCTTGGTCTGATCAGCCACAGTCGAACACACTGTACCTTGACTCTGACATAATGATATCATTTTGGTCCTCTTTGAGCACCGAAGGACAACAACCAGTCCATCCACTTCATTTTGCAAAAGAGGAAATTGAGGCCCAGAGAAGTGCCTTTTTCACATTTTTGAGTAGTGATTAGCAGAGGCAAAATTTGAACTTGGGTACAAATCCAGGGTTTTATCCACCACATCTCACTGCCTCTCCAGAGGTGTGGATAAATGGAGGATGAGGTGTGCGATTATACTCAGTTATTTTTCTACATCTTCCAAATTCAAGTGAATTCAACAAGCCATTATTGAGTATCTATTATGTGCAAGAAATTAAAAAGTGGCTATGTCTATCCTTATGGTTTCTTTCAGGTTACCTTGGGGATTTGGATCTTTTCCTGCAAAGGGGCTGGTTTCTGGGATCCAAATGAAAGGGGTTTTGTTGATCCCTAGCGTGAGAACTCGGCCGTCGGTGCCAATGGTGGCTGGCCTCTGACGACTCTTGTCCTTCAGAGCCCCCAGTCAGTGGTGACTTTAATATAACAGTTCCTGGCTAGGCTCGGTGCCATATAGCTCAGCTAACATTTTGAACCTGGGCCCCCAGTCATTCAAGAAGTCATAGTCAATGTCTGAATCTGAGGAGTCTGTGACGAGGCTGCTGAGTGATTCGGCGATGGACTCAGCTCCTTCATAGCCATAGATGTGGAGTGTGTCATATGGGGGTCCACCGCCATCATGGTCCGCCTCATCCTTCTTCACCTCAATCATGACAGCCATCTCCCCACTTACAGCTGGGGGGTGAGCAGGCCTGGGAGGTTTCTGGATCTGAGCATAGAGAGAAGGCCGTGCATCTAGGGCAGACCGGGGTGGCTTCCCTCCTGGTGGCTTTCCACTGCTCTTGTAGGCTGAGTTGAGCACAGATACATCATAGCTGTTGGTATCCATCTCTCCACCGCCTTCCTCATCGTAGGTGACCAGCTGCTCGTGAATTTCTGCTACATTCTTGCCTTGAGCTCTGTCCTGTTTCTTTAACCGTCGACGGAGGATGATGAGAAGCGTGATCACTACAAGTAAAACGTATTTATGTCAGCTCTTACTAAGCACATAGTCAGTCAATCAATAAACATTTACAAAGCACCTACTACGTACTACACACTGTGAGAAACACTGGAGATACAAAAAGAGGCAAAAGACAGTTCCTTCCCCCAAGAAGATAACAATCTAATGGTAGGGCACGTTTCTAACTATGTCACACAATGTCTAAACCGGAAGGGTCCTTAGATTGTGTGAACAAAGAATGTTTCAACATTCTGTGACTTACGTTTTAAAGGTCCCTCTAGTTCTAACACCCTGTGTTCTGTGTTTTAAGTTCCTGTCAATTCTAATAATAATAATAATAATAATGATAGCTAGCATTTGTAAGGTGCTTTAAAGTTTACAAAGAGTTCTAAACTGGAGCAACCTTACAGACAATCTAGGTCAGCTTCCTCATTTTACAGATGAGGAAACTGAGGCCCAGAGGAATGACTTGTTGGGAATCTCACAACAAGTCAGTGGCAGAACCTGCTCTAGAACCAACATTTCATACTACATCCCAACCTGGTGATTCTTTTTATTATGTGATGGCACCTGGCTCAGTTAGATGGCCTTGTCAGTCCCCTTGAAGGGAGAGCTAAAGATTAGTCAGACCACCACTGCACTGACCACTATCTCCTCTCAGACCTCAATGGAGACAACCCAGCACCCTGGACTGAAAAGCTTTGGGAATAGTAATAACCCACTGCCCTCTGCCATCATCCTCTGCCATCACAAGCAACCCTTGTGGAGATGCAGCCTGGCAGCTACCCCTATAGATGCTATAGTCCCGGCTGCTGAAAACCCAGAAAAAAAGTTCTTGTTACCAAAGTCACTGACACTGTCAAATGGGATAGGAAGAAAGGTAAAAGATAGTCCCTGCCCTCAAGGAGCTCTCACAATCTAATGGGAGAGGTGACATACAAACAACTATGTGCAAACAAGATATATACAGGATAAATGGGGAATAATCAGTAAAAAGAAGACACTAGATTTAAGAGAGATTGGGAAAGGCTTCTTGTAGAAGGTGGGATTTTAGCTGGGACTTGAAGGAAACCAGGAGGCAAAGATGAGGAGGGAAGCAGTTCCAGGCACCATGGACAGCTAGCAAAAATTTCCAGAGCTGGCATTTCGAATGTTGTTTGTTGCATTGGCTGGGAGTTAGACAATCTAGGTTTCAATCCTTCCTCTGCCACTTATAAGTTATATGACTTTGGGCAAATTGTTTTATGGCTCTGCCCTTCTCTCCTCTGTAAAATGGGCATAATAATCCCTGTTTCTTGGTGGTATATTAGAAAGAACACTGGACTAGGCCTGTTACACCACAAAGAATGAAGAATATTAGATGTGGAATGGGCTTTTGAGATCATCTAATTTGACTGTCTCATTTTAAAGATGAGAGAATTAAGGCCCAGGGAGAGGAAGAAAATTATGAAAGGTCACAAAGTAAGCTAGTGGCAAAGCCAGGTCAAGAATGTGGGTCTCTAATTCCCACTCCAAGGCTTTAAAAATCATGTCATATACTTCTTGGTTACTCAAAACCTGGCCCCTCCCTCCCTTGTACCCCAAATAAGACCCTACTTTACAAGGTCAAGATTCTTGCACTTACCACCAATGGTGAGGATGCACAGAAAGATGGCCACAAGGGCCTGGATGCTCACTCCAACCGTCCTGGCTGGCTCTTCACAGAACGTGGGCTCCCCATGGTCATTGCATTTGCAGACTGTGATGACAAGGGTAGTGGTGCCTGTAAGGCTGGGTTTCCCATTGTCAGCAATGACCACAGGAAGGTAGTGAACCTTGGCTCTCTCCCGATCAAACTGACCATATTTCACTGTGATGTTGGCTGAATTGTCTGAAAGGGAAAGTACATCTGGATAACGTCATTGATCTGACACAACTGCTAATATCCTGGGAGTCTGGCACAATGCTGTTGTGGGCTCATAATATCATATACAGGGTTCCAAGAGAAGTTGGAGATCATCTTGTCCAACCAATTATTCTATAAAGGAGGAAACTGAGGCCCATAGAAATGAATTCACTTGCCTAAGTATACAGGTAGTAAGTTATACAGGTAGTAAATGGCAGAACTGGGATTCAAATGAGATAATATTTGTAAAGTGCCTAGCATAGTGACTGGCATATAGTAGGTTCTTAATAAAGGCTTGTTCTCTTCCCTTTCTTTCCCTTCCCTTCCCTTTTCTTCCCTTCTGTTCTCTTCTCTTTCCTTCCTTTCCCTTTTCTTCCCTCCCTTCCCTTTGCTTCATTTCCTTTATCTTCCCTTCCCTTTCTTTCTATTCTCTTCCCCATCCTTCCCTTCCCTTCCCCTTTTCAACTTTATTTCCCTAGCTTTCCCTTCCCTTCCCTTCTCTTCCTTTCTTTCCCTTTCCCTTTCTTTCTTTCCATTCTCTTCCTTTCCCTTTCTCTTTCTTTCCATTCTCTTCTCTTCCTTTTCCTTCCTTTCCCTTTTCTTCCTTCCTTTTCTTTTCATTTCCTTTCCTTCCCTTTCCTTCCCCATCCTTCCCTATCTTTCCCTTTCATTCTCTTCCCTATCCTTCCCTTCTCTAGTCTTCCCTTCCCTATCTTTTCTATCATTCCCTTCCTTGTCTTTTCCTCCCTATTCTTCTCTTCTTTTCCTTTTCCTATCCTTCCTTTCTCTTCCCAAACCCAAATCCTTCTATTATAGGTTCAGCATTCTTTCAGTTCTACTTTGTTGAGTTTTCAGCCTTTAAATTACACCTGGATTACCATATTGGTTTCCTAACTCTGTAATTCGCTTTCCCCATTTGTAAATGAGGGAGTTGGACCAAATGATCTCTAAGTGTTCTGAAAGACCTGAGTTCAAATCCTGCTTCAGACACTAGCTATGTGATCCTAGGTAAATCACTTAATCTCTCCCAACCTTAAAATATAAAATAGGCATTATGACAGCACTACCCTATAGGGTCATTATGAACGTTAAATAAGATGACATATCTAAAGCACTCTGAAATCCTTAGAACACTGTATAAATGCTAGATATTATTATCTCTAAAGTTTCTTCTAGTTGTAAGTCCTGAGGTTACAAAAGAACTTGGCCTGATAATCTTGGCTGTACTTTCTCTTTTTGAATTGAGTTGGAAAATTGGGTTGCATGAGAGACAGTGTGGTAGCCTGCAAAGATCACAAGACTTGGAATTAGGAGACACGGGTTAAAATCCTGACTGGTCCTAATTGCATGATACTGTGCAAATAATTTAACCTTTTTCCATTATATTTTCCTTCTATATAAAATGGGAAAAATAATACTTCTAGTACCTAGCAAGTCAAGTTAACATATATTTAAATGCCTACTAGGTGTCAGACACTTTGTTAAGTGCCAAGGATGCAAATAGAGGCAAAAGATAGTCTCTGCTCTTAAGAAGGGGAACACCATGTTCAAAGAACTCTGTGTAAATAGGTTATAGATAGGATAAATTAGAGATAAAACTGACAGAAGGAATACATTAGCATGAAGGAGGATCAGGGAAGATTTCTTGTAAAAGAGAAGAATCTAGTTGGTACTGGAAGCCAGAGGAGCTAAGAGGTGGAGATGAGGAGAGAGAATTTCAGGCATGGGGGACAGACAGTGAAAATGCCCTGAACTGGGAGATGGGATGTCTTATACAAGGACTGCCACGGAGGTCCGTGTCACCACATGGAGAACAATAAAGTGTAAATAGTCCAGACAGGTTAGGAAGGGGATGGATTATGGAGGTCTTTAAATGGCAGAGAATTTTATATTTGGACCTAGAGATAATAGGAAGCCACTGGAATATATTAAATAGGAAGGTGACATGGTCCTACCTGTGCTTTGGGAAGATCAATTTGACTGCTGAGTGGAGTGGGGAGAGACTTGAGGCAGCAAGAGCAGCCAGAAAGAGAGTCGATGGAATTGTTGGAAGGGATGGGAAATTCTTCATAAATTTTGAGGTGCCGTAGAAGTGTGATGTTATTTTAAGTATCACTATAACAAGAGCTCTCGTAGAGATACAATACCTCGATTTTCTGTCAGGGTAAAATTGCTGTCCTCTTTGCTCAGGGAGTATTTGAACTTCACATCCAGTGGTGTTACGTCCTTGTCTGTGGCCATGATCCTTGTGACTAACTGTAGTGATTGAAAAGAAGGAATTGGGGAGTCAGTTCTGCATAAAACAGGGTAGCGAATTGGGTGTAGAAACATTGTTTCTCAATAGTGGAAAATGAACAATCTATGGGCACAGCTTCAGAATAGGCTAGAATTACCACATCCATATGGCACCATGTATCTCTCTGGGAACTCCTGTGCACAGGAACAAGTAGAACCCCAGGCAAATTTTAGGATTTGTCATTGTTGTTCAGCCATTTCAGTCGTGACTGACTCTTTATGACCCGATTTGGGGTTTTCTTGGCAGAGATATTAAAATGGTTTGCCATTTCCTTCTCCAGCTCATTTTACAGATGAGGAAACTAAGGTAAATTGGGTGAAGTGATTTGCCCAGGGACACACAAGGAGGGTAAGTATCTGAGGCCAAATTTGAACTAATGTCTTCCTGACTCAAGGCCTGGCACTCTATCCACTAGGCTACCTAGCTGCCCTAATTTTGGGATTACAAATCCCATTTAGAGGAAAGTGATTTTCTTGATCGAAGGGGCCAGCCCTTGGGTGTTGGGGGTGGGCAATAAGACTGCTCTAGTAGCTCTTCAAAATATTGAGGGAACCTCTACTCTGAAAATCCTATATTCAGAGAAAGTCTTTCACTTTACCCACAATCCCCTTGCACATAAACAAACTTACTTTGAAAGATTAGGTCAAATGGCCAGACCAGATATTTCATGGGTCTGTGTGGGCAAGTTCCAAGGGAAGAAGGAAGTTCCTAATTGAGTCTTTTTAACTATTACCCTTAAAGGCCTGTGGGTTTCTATGCCTTGAGAGGAACTTTGAGAAGAAACCAGTCACCACAACCATTCTGTCTGCAGGGTTGAGCAATTTACAGTGAGAGAATAGTAGTGTTGCCTCTGGGTTCTTTTTTTCCCCCAATTTCTTAGCTTTTTAATAAATTTCAATTTTGTACCAGAGCCTGGTGGCTACCTTAGTAATAGAAGTAATTTTAGACATCCTGAAAATAAATACATCACAAAAACAAATAAAGGGTGAAAACAACCAGGAGCTATTCTTCTGAACTGTAGGATTACTGTCATCAGCCAAGACTGCCATGTGTTTTAGGTGTGTAGACGTGGGGGCTGTCCACTGTCCATTCGCTTCAATTTGTGGGATGTCAGAATTGGGAGAGATCTTAGAACATTCCACTCAACTCATTCTTGAATGAATGAATTAAAAGCATTTACTATGTGCCCGCCACTGTGCTAAGCGTTGGGGATACAAATACAAAAGTGAGGTAGTTGCTGCCTTCAAGGGGCTTACATTCTAATGGGGGAGACAATACATAGGAGAATTTTGGCCAGGGAAGGGAGTTATGGTCTTTGAAGTCACAAAGGACCAAGAAAATTGCCTCTGGAAAGAGGCAAATGTGTGTGAGGTGGGGGGTGAAGGTGGAAATGGGGAAAAGAGGGTAGGAGCAGCAGGTATAAAATTGGTCAGGGTGAAAATGAGGGTTCAGGGGTCCTGGAGAGCATCAAGTTGAGTGGCTCAGCTCTTCCTAGGCACAGCCTCTGGAAGGAATCTTAAAACCTAGAATTTAGAGCTGAAAAGTACCTCAGAACTTAAAATGTTCAAATGTTAAAGTTGGATCACAAATGTCAGAGCTGGAAAGGACCTTAGGACATAGGGAGAATACCAGATCTGGAAAGGACTTCAAAGATCAGCTAGTCTAATGCTCTCATTTTGTATGTAAAGTTGATGTGGTTGAAATTGGCAAGCTGGAGCAAGTATGGCATCCCAGCATATCCTTGAGGAGCAAAGCTAGCTGTGACAGAGAAGGGAGATATTAAGGAGACTACAGACATTTTGAGGCAGAAAACTCAGGCTGAGGGAAATCCTAATAAAAGGCCTGATCTTTTCCCAACACATCCTTCTTGTGGAAATCTGACCATATAAACTTAATATAATCCTATAATATAATATCAATCCTATAATATAATCTCATGTTTCATTATCCAAAAGTTTCCAGTAAGCTGAAGCTTGCCTCAACCACAAAAATGCCAGGGGTTCACTAGAGACAGATACAAATATAGAGTTAGGCAGAAGACTCAACTTCTCCCTAGATGTTAGGACTTTTCTTAAGTAGGGGCTCAGAGTGATTTTTGTGATTAAACTCATAACTTTTCATCTAAAATAAATGCCTTAAAACTGAAGAAGAGGGAACAGTGTGGACCTTAGGGGGAATTATGTTGTGCCCTAGGCCAAAAACAAGCTAATTATTATAGCTGGGAGCTACATATAGATAAGAAAATGGAATCCCCTAGTCATAGAACACTGGACTGATGTCAGGAGATTTGGGTTTTGATCCTCAGTCTGCTGCTAACTATCTGTGTGACCTGGGGCAAGTCTTTGACCTGCTCTGGGCATCCGTGTGCTTCTCTGTGGATTGAAGGAGTTAGAGCAGGTGGTCTCAGATGTTCTTTTTAATTTACATCTTGTCTGATGTGATCCTACTTCCTGACTCAAGTGTAAACATACCCAGCTTACCCTCCCCCCAAACCTGTGGTGCCCCCAGGATGACAATGGCTAGGGACACAGGGTTTCTAGGGTACTCACTGTTCCGGGGGCAGCATTCTCGCACACTTTTGCATCATTGGGTTGTGCAATCTCTGGGGCATTGTCATTCTCATCCAGGATCTCTATGTGAACTTGAACAATGGATTCTAGGCCAGTGGGTTTCCCTGGGGATAGGAAATGATGATATTACTTTTAAATCACACCTCCTTCTTTGGTACTTGTGACTATATGACTCAAGCAAGTCAGACTTAGGAAATGACAAAGCCACAGGGGTGTCATCATCACAGGGCTCCTTGCTTTGTGAGGATGGCTGGTGCCCCAAAGATCTGAGATTTATTGACACAAGTGCCCATGACTCAATCCTTCTTCTGTCATCACCAAGACAAAATGGGGTAGAGTGGTGGAAAGAGTCCCTGACTGGGAAAGCAGGAGACCTGATTTCTAGCCCTAGCTCTGTCACTAACCAGCTTTGTGACCTTTCACAAGTTAACCCCTCTTGCGAGATCTCAGTTGCCTCATCTGTAACTTTTCATCTGAAACTAAGGCTTGGAGAGATACAATTTCTTATCCAAGCACTACATCTTGGACTTGAACCCAGGTCTTCTGACACCAAGCCCAACATTCTTACTACACAATAATGAGCAAAGAACAAGCACACAATAAATACTTGTTGGTTGCTTATCTGTACCATCTTGCTTGTCCCTATCTTCCTCAGCTTTGGTTGGCTTTTCTCTTCTCCTTTCCAAAAAGACACATGAATGTTTTCTAAAGTCTTCCCTCCCAGCCTTTGTCAGAAAGAGGCAAACAGAGAGGAAAAAAAGAGGGAGCCCCAGAAGGGACATCCCCCATTGGCAGCTCACCATGAAGATCCATCTCTTTGGCTTCAACAGTCAGGTTATACCAAGGGTAGATTTCACGGTCTAATTCCTTAAGATTGGAAATGTAACCCTGCTTGGAGATTTTGAAAAATTGTCCTCTATCGCTGGTCTTCCGGATGTGGTATCTACATTATGGGAGAAAAGACATCTCCTGGAATATCTTTCCAATACCCTTTACATGCTTTCATTGGGTTTGCTGTCTTGTAGATGGGGAATCTAAGACTAAAGGAAGGTAAGTAACTTTTTCAAAGTCATATAGCTACATATTAAGCAGGGACAAGTCAGGTTGGCCTTGGATGTTAATGACATTTGAGATTATGCACTTTTGCATGGGAACTCTAATTATTCTGGCTATGGGAGAAATAGTATATTAGAAAGAACTCTGGGTTGTGGGTCACAACACGTGTTATGGTACTGATCTCTATGATCTTGGGCATGTCTTTCCTCCATTCTGGGTCTCAGTTCTCTTTTCTTGTGGTTACTTACTAGTTGTTTAACCATGGGCACAATTACTTCCAGAAGGTGAGCCATCTTAGCCTCAGTTTACTCTTCTATAAATTTGGAATTCATAATACTTATACTACCCAATTCACAGGGTTGTTCTGAGGAAAACACTCTGTAAACCTTTGTTGTTGTTGTTGTTCAGTCATATCTGATTCTTCATGACCCCATTTGGGGTTTCCTTGGTGAAGATACTGGAGTGGTTTGACATTTCCTTCTCCAGCTCATTTTATAGATGAGGAAACTGAGGCAAACAGGGTTAAATGACTTGCCCAGGGTCACACAGCTAGTAAGTGTATGAGGCCAGATTTGAAGTCAAGAAGATGAGTCTTCCTGACTCCAGGCCCAGCACTCTGTGTACCTACACCTTCAGGTACTACAGAAATATGAGCAGGGGTGTTTTGGTAAATGTTTAACAAATATTCCCTTGGGAAAAAAGAGTATGAACTACACACTTTTATGTTTAATCTGCATTATTAACAGTTTCTTAAGTCTAAGTGATCAGCAGAACAATACACCAAACCCTGATTTGTAGAGTTTTCTGATTTCTGAAATGTTAAGTGCTCGTACTGAAAATTTAACAATCCCCTTATGAGCTGGATCCAGCACACCCTTGAGTGTGAGTTATCATTATTATTTGATTCTTGAAGGGTTGGGATATAGGCAGAAAGTTGGCAGGTTAGGGTCTGTCTATTGTGTGGGGAAAATAGTGAGGGGTCTTGGGAAATGAGAGGGAGCCTGAGATCTTGGGAAGTGAGGGTTAGGATGTCATAAGGTGGGAAAGAAAGGGAAAATGGATCAAAGGAGAGAGCATTAGATTTCTAATCAGATCTAGGTTTGATTCCCAGCTCTGCCACTGAGACTTGTGTGGCCACAGTTTCCTCATCTGTAAAATGAGAGGGTTGGACTAGATGGCCTCTAGAGTCCCCTTCCATTTTAGCATTCCATGTTTTATATTTACATTTGGCATTTTAAGTCTTTCGCCATCTTACTTCTAGCCTATCTTTCTAGGCTTACGCATTATTGCCCTTTACATGCTTTATATTCTAACCAAACTGGCTTCCTTGCTGCTTCCTGGATAACATGTTCCATTTCCTGCCTCCCTGACTTTGCACAGGCTGTGTCCCATGCCCAGGAATGCTCTCCTTCCTCACTTCCACCTCTTGGAACCCCTTGATCTCTTCAAGACTCAGCACAAGATTCACTTCCTTCACGAGGCCTTTCTTGATCCTTCTAATTGTGAGTACCCCTCCTCAATCCCTCCCTGTCACTGTGTATTTATTTTGATTGCGTCTTGCATTTACCCCTCTGTGAACATATTTTATCTCCCTGGTGGAAGGTAAGCTACTTGAGGGCAGGAACCATCTTACTTTAGCCTTTGTATTTTCTAGCACCTAGGACAGCACCTGACACCAAGTTGCTACTTAAGAAATGTTTGGCAAATCTATTCATTGAAAGTTCCTTCCATCTCTAAAATCCCATGAATCTGTTGGAAGGAGGCAAACAAGGGATTGTATTTGGGTATCATTCCCCTCCCCAAAGTCACAGAAAACAGTTCCCTCTTACTCAATGTTCCTTTGAGCTGCGTCAGGATCCTTGGCTAACACTGAGCCGATTATAGGTTTCTTTTGGTTTTCCATCAGCTTGAAGTGGTAGAAACGTTGAGAGAAGACTGGAGGCTCATCCACATCAGTGACATTGATGTGAACAACAGCTAGGTTCTTTGAGGGAACGTTATTCAGGTACCGGAGGTTAATTGTTGGGTCCGTTGCCTCGATGGTGAAGCTATATTCTTTGATGTGCTCGTAATCCAGGGGCTAGGAAAGAGAAGGGAACGCTTGGAAAGAGCCATGAACTTGGAGTTTGGAAATCTGGATTGTAGGGAGAGGCCAAATTGCTTTTTTTCCTCCTGGATCTGTTTTCTTATTTGTAAAATGGAGATGGTAATAATCTCTGCTCTGTCTATAAAGAGTGCTAGGGGACTGAGTTATTATTACAAATGTGAAATACAGTCAAATGGATTCAAATTCTCATTGATTCATGGAGATATAGACCTAAAGGTTAGGTCAATGCGGTCAGCACTGCTTGCATAAAACAGCAGGAGCCCCTTCCTCCAACTCTGTTTTGGACGTAATTACTTATGCTCCATGAATCTGACCCATCCCTCCAGATGGTCATATTCTATCTTCTGCAGGAAGACTTTCTAGACCACTCAAGCCCAGATATTGCTGTCCCAGAAAAGTAAGCCCATACATCCCTCATACACATTTTGTATCTATTGCTTTGTATTGTTAGGCAGGAAGTCAGAAGGATAAGATCTGTCCACACTTAGATGGGGAATGTAGAGTGTTCTTGGCATATGCATTCACTAGTTTCTCTCCTTCCTGAGGGCTGGAACAGATCTTAAACTTCCCTATCATGGCCCACAACACTGGGCGTTGATTGCTGACTGGTGGATTGATGTACCTCCAGTAGACTGGGTAGGCTTATGGGATTTGGGGTCAGTCTTACCAAAGGAAAGGAAACAAATGAACCCCTTGCCCTGCTCTGCCTCAGACACTTAGTACTTTAGTCTTGGTTGCTGGAGTTGTTGGGGTCATTATGGAAGCATTTCTAAATCTATCAGAAAAAACACAGAATTTCTGCTTTGGAAGGGATGTCATTCCTCTAACAGTAATAGCTAGAATTTACATAGTGCTTTAAAGTTTACAAAGTGCTTGACAAATATGATCTTATTTTATCCTTACGACAACCCTGGGAGGTAGGTTCTCTTATTATTAACTCATTTTAAAAATGAGGAAACTGAGGCAGAGTTCATGTGCCCTCTTTGCTTCACCTTCATGTGCTCCATGTACCTTCATGGGTTTGATGATGCCTTGGTTCCTGGAAGCATCGAGTTCAATGACGAAGGTGTCCCTGTATTCTCCTTGGACGATGCTGTACTTGGTCATTCGGTTCTGGGGCTCATCAGGGTCTTCGACAGTCAGGGACCCCAGGGGGCTTCCCACTCGAATATCTTCAGGAACCACAAATTTGTAATTTGCTGCTCCACAAAAGAAATGTTAGGGAGAGTTTGGTTAATAAGCTGTGCCTCTTAATTTACATTAATTAGATAGACCATTACTTTGCAGGGAATCTGGGTGAATTATGTCCCAGACAACAAAGTCACATAGCTTTAATGGTACAAGTAATCCCTGTTCACAGGTTTCCCAGCACTGTTTTCTTTCCCCATAAAGTACTGGGCAAAATTTATGCTCCTCTCTTGTCCTGGCTTGTTTTCCTTATTAATAAGAGCTGTATGGACAATAGCACCAGCCTAGTCCATTCTATCATCCTTGCTATTCCTCAGGTCATCTGACTAAGAAAAGAAGCTCCTTGAAGGCCGGGATTATTTTATTTTTGTCTTTGTATACTTAGAGTTTACCACAGTGCTTACAACACAGCAGATACTCAATGGTTGCTAGTTGATTGATTGATAGAGGTGCTAGATATCAATCTATCAAACATTTTTATTAAGTTTCTACTGTATTCTAGGAATTATTCTAGATATTGGGGACACAAAATCAGAAATTAAACAGTCCATGTAAACCCTAATCTATCCACAGTCTCTTGTTCAGGTTCCCGTGGGACCAACAACATTCATTTAAGAGAGCATTGGGGCAATGGTATATGATGACTCAGTCCGTGACCAGGGTTAGGGCTGGGATTGGGTTTAGGCTGTAAATTGGATTAGGATTTGGTCTAGGGCTGAACCAAAAGGAGGTTAAGTGACTTGCCTATGGTCACACAATTAGGAAGTATCTGAGTCTGGATTTGAATGCAGGTCTTCCTGGCTCCAGATCTAGTGCTCTATCCACTGAGCCACTGTCCTGGTCCAGGGCTAGGGTTAGAACTCATCCTAGGGTTCTATCAAGGGCTGGGACTAGGACCAAGTCTTCCAGAAGAGAAGTGGAGTCTGGGATGGGAGCTTGGGAATAGACAAGACAACTCATCTTCCCTCTACGGTTAGGAGAGAACACAGACTAAGGGGGAGATAGGAGCTTATTAGGACTCAGAATGTGGATGATTTCTGAGAACTGAAAAGCCAGATTTGATAAAACCTCCTTAGCCTAGGCTTAAGCCTTAGCTCAGGGTGTCCTATCTGAGTACAATATACAATATGCAGCCCACCCCCTTCCCATCCTCCTTCTGCCACCCCCTAGAGCAGCCTTGTTTCTCCAAATGCCAACTCACTTTCGGTGAAGATTGGGAAGTTGTCATTGATGTCACTCACGGTGATAACCACTGTGGCTGTGCTGGACTCCCCGTGGAGTCCCGGGCCATCTCTGGCTTCCACCACAATCTCATACTTTGATTGCTTTTCTCGGTCTAGGTTATTCACAGCTGTAAAGATGGTGCCTGGATGGGGTGAGGAAGAGAGTGGGGAAAAAGGGGCAAGAGGAATATGAGTTAAGCAGTGACCCCCATTCCTTTTAATACCAAAATAGGCCTTTAGGACACTGGCTAAATACTTCCTGTCTCACTACCTACACTACCTATCTCACTCCCCCATCCCCTTTTAGCTTTTTTTAAACGTGTATTCTTCTCCTATTAGAATGTAAGCTCCTTGAGGGCAGGGATTGTCTTTCTTTATGTACAGGTATCCTTAAGGTACCCTTAGCACAATGACTAGCCCATAATAAAAGCTTAGTGTTTATTGACTGACTATATGAGGCCATGGAATTTCACAAATTAGCCATTGCTTTCCAAATTCTCTTTGCCTCACTGAGCTACCCTAGGCAAACCATTTCCCTCTGTAGGACTCACTTCCCTCTTCTACAAAGTGAGGGAAACAGATGAAAATCTTGAAAGTCTCCTAAGTCCCTTTCATATCTGACATTTCATGTCACTAAATCCCTTTCTAAAGTAACATTGCATGTTTGTTACCAATGACATTGCAAGTTGTTTCATTCCATAGAGTAAGATAGGTCACTTTTATCTCCTGTACTCTATGTCCCTTGTTTTAATCCACCTTTTAAGGTCCCTTCCAGTTCTAGCATTTTATGATGCTTGGGAGAACACGTTAGTCAGTCAGTCAGTCAGTCATTCAGTCAGTCAATAAACATTTATTCAGTGCCTACTGTATGTCAAGTTCAAGGGATAAAAAAAAAGGCAAAAGACAGTGTCACTATAACAATCTTTCTGTAAAGGCAACAGAGGTGACCAGTAATGGGAATGGATTGTTGAACAGACCAAATTTACTTAACCATATAAATGTAGCTTGGAAACCATCCCCCAGGAGAAGCTTCCTTTAAACCCTAACACTGTGGTCGCTGCTCAAACCACATACAGATTGCTCTTTGGAGCAATTTTGGCTAGTAACGTGGGTCTGAAGACTGATTCCATGGTCTTGGCCCAAGGTATGTTCTTCCCATCTCAGTTGCACACAAGTCATTAGGAGCTATATCTGCTACCTTGAACCTCTATGCTCCATGGATCTGTGATTTTGTCCATGTTGGGACCTAGCACATTTCTAAGGATCCTTTTGGTTCTAATGTTCTGAAACTGTGGGCACTTACTCTTTTGTCACAGATCCCAGACCCTCCATGACTGAGTAGTTGGCTCATTTAGTCTTTGGGTGATGAGCCTTTCTGAACTGAAGTCTATCCAAGGACAAAGGATGACATCACCACTGAGGAGATTCCAAAGAGTATGTCTTGGGCTCTGAAGGCCATTCCCAGAGTAGAGGCCTGGGTAGTGGCGGTATTGGTAGAATTAGCATGTCATCTCTCAAGGAGGCTTTTTTGAAGAAGAGTCATGTAGAACCTCATTGAGAGCAGGGGACTGTTGGTTTTCTTTTTCCTCCTAACTCCTATTACTATGACTGGTGTGTAGTGGGCACTTAATATACTCTTTTTGAATATGCAATTTATTCTTTTAAATATGTGCTGTTGAATGAATAACCTCTGGCCTGTTTGTAAAAACAAAACAAAACAAAAAACCCAACAGTCCAAAACAACAACAAAAACATGACTCCTTTCTGGTCACCTGGGTACATGTATGTCATCTTAGGCATGAGAATAATTGGAAGGAAGGACATTTAATAGTGACACAAACCAGAGCTGTCGATGGTGAAATACTCTCTGCCACGAATTATATTGTAGGAAACCGAGGCATGGCCTAACACGGTAGGGTCATCTGCGTCCACGGCGGTGACTCTGGTGACTGAAGTTCCTGCAGGGAAAGTTAGCCGATAGATTAGAATAACTTTGGTCAGACCCTTGTGCTGATAATTATTATAACAACAATGACAACAATAATGGTAGCTCCCATTCTTACAGTGCCTTAAGGCTTGCAAAGTATTTTATATATTTACTGTGAGATTGTAGCATTTCTGATAAGCCTCTGGGGAGTCACCTGCAAAGGAATCTAAATCACTGAAGATTCTGGGAGTTGTATTTCTCTAAGGATGGGTAGGGGAGAGAAGAAGGAAAACTAACTAGACTAACTAACTAACTAACTAATTAACTAAAGTTAACTCAGTATGAGAGGCCATGGTTTCCCTCCTACTAAGATCTCTTGAAGGGGAGAGGAGAAAGATGATGGGGCTTTCACTTGACACATGGAGCTGTACTGTGACCACGTTGGTTATGGTGGTGACAAATTCAGTCCCTGTCCTCAAACCCAAGACTTCAAGGGAGACCATGGGAGGTAAAAATTAAAGGGACAAATGTTAAGGTAAAAGACTACTTTTTAAAAAAAAAAGAGTATGTGTGTTCACTCAGGTGTCTGGTACACAGAGGGAAAAACAGACCCAGAGGGAGTGTGGGAGAACTTCCTCCTCACCATCCCCTACCTCACTTCAGAAGAGAGCATTCCCAGTTGTCTCCATCAAAGCCTGCATCTGACTCATCCAATCTTATTTCTCAAGAACACATTTTTCTTGTGTTCCTTTGTTAATGGTATGAGGGTACAGGGCAGCTCTGGGAGCCACTTAGGAGAGAATGTTCTTTCCTAGCATAGGTCTGAGATCCCACCCTGCAGCCCATTGTTAGAGAGTTTTCTCTCTCTAACTGTGACCATCATCACAAGCCATTCATGTTTCATAACTATACTTTCAAGGATAGGATTACCAGGAACCTGGGGCATCTACATCTGTTTGATTGGGTCACAAGCCTAAACCCGTTGTGCCTCCTAGTGGTCACACGTACATATTCTCATTTGATTTGGAAATAGTCCCTAGCTGGCTCCAGACCTCCTGGGGGAAACTGTGGAGGATTATTTCACAGTCTGTGGCTATGGCTAGGGCTTTGTGGTCATGTTAGGATTAGGGTTCAGTTAGGGGTTTGGTCTGTGGCCAGGATTAGGGTTTAGTCTATGGTTAGAGTTAGGGCTCAGTCTGGTCCAGGGTAGGGCTCAGTCTGGGAGTGTAAGACGGAAAGTTTTCCTGTATGTGCAGATCTGTTGCATGGGATGGGGGGGTGTAGGGTGGGGTACAAACCCCAGCTTTGACTCCATTCCCTCTGTGCTATCAACAGCTATAGCTGAAGAGCCCAGATGGCTGGTGATGTCCAGGCCAATACTGGCAGGGGGGGACTTTGCAGGGTAAGAGATGCCCAGTGTTTGTTGGAATGGTAGCTGAGTGCTGTCTCCCTGACACGTACCAACAGCTGACATCTCTGGCACTGAGCCGTTGAAAACTCTCTGTGCAAATACGGGGGCATTATCATTCACGTCATGAACTTTAATCGTGAAGTTGGAGGGTGGCTCCAAGTTCGCATTGGTGTCTTTGTCCACAATGTATGCAGTGAGGTGATATTCTGATTTCTTCTCCCGGTCCAGCCTCTCAAAAGCATAGACGTCTCCAGTCTGTTCACTGACTCCAAAGAGTTTGCCTTTGCCGGCCTCGGGCCCTTTGAGAACATACCTGGCATTCTTGCTGTTCACACTTGATGTGATCTAAGGGAAAAAAAATGAGGGCACTTAACATTGTTGGGGAGGGGATCCTCTCTTCCTCTGAGCACATCATGTGTTTTCTTATTGGTGAACCTTTGCTCACGGCATCTTCTACATCTGAAAATCTCTCCTCCTTTCTCTCCCCCCTCACTCCCCTCCACTTGGTAGAGTTAAAAGAAGTCTTGACATGGAGTCAGAAAACCTGATTTTGAACCTCCAACTCTGCTATTTTACTAGCTGTGACCTTGGCCCAGTCACTTATCTTTTCCCGGTCTCAGTTTCCTCATTTGTAAGATAAGGAGTTGATCTCTTCCAACTCTAAATCCCTATGACATCCCTATGATAATTACTTTTCATCATTCAAAATCCAGCTCACATACCACCTGCTTTCCCTGGTCTAATCCTCCACAAATGAAAGCGATTTTTTTCCTCTCTTCTCAATTCCCATAGCCAGGGAGATATTCACAATCTTTTTTGGAACACAATCCTTCCCATTCCCCACCTCCACCCCCCCACCCCCACCCCTATCCTCATCCTCCTTTCCATCCTCATCCCTTCAGGAAAGGATGGACAGATAAAATATGGACACTTATTCTTGAAACAGAGAATATGTCAGGTTGACTGATTGTTCTTATTAAAGATGTAGAGTCAATAGAGCTTTTTAATTAGAATATGCAAATTGGGTCTGGAGTCATAAAATAAATAGCCAGAATACCACTAATGAAAAGGCACATTTACACCAAAGGCTTGGGGAATACATGCTCCTGGGAGCAATGGGACCTAAATTTCCCATTTCTCACCCCACAAAGAGAGGCCATTGTGGATCTGAGCAAACAATAGGCATTCAACCAATATTTTGTAAATTGGCTTGAAAGATTATTATATAGGAGAGGAAATAGACCTATTCTACTTGGCTCTAGTGTATGGAGCGAGAAGAATGGGTGGAAGTCTCAGGGAGGTGAATTTCAGATTGATAAAAGGAAACACTTTCAATCAGTCAGGGCTATTAAAATTAGAATAAAATGACATTATCCTTGCTCTTAAGCGACTTATAATCCATTAGGGGAATATGATGTATATAGGAAAAAGTATAATATAAAAGTGGGTGGCCCAGAGGATAGAATGTGGAAATCCAGTCCCAGCAGACCCTTATTTGAATTTTTGAAAGTGTGGCCCTTTAACTGAATCCAAACTTCACAGAATAAATCCCCTTCACAAAAGGATTTGTTCTATAAAACTCGGACTCAATCAAAAGGCTGCACCCAAAGACCTAGAAGGTGACATGTAATGTTAAGGCCGCAGGTCCTCCACCCCAGACTAGATCTTGTATTCTGGACCCCCTTAACAGTCTGGTGAAGCCTACGATCCTTTTCCCACAATAATATTTTTAATTTCACAAAACAAAATACATAGAATTTAAAAGGAAACCAATTATAATGAAATGGTTATCAGAATATTAAAAAGAAAAAGTCATGAATGGCAAGTTAAGAAGTCCTCCACCAGATGATATCTGAAGCTTTTTTTTTTTTTTTTAGTACTATATCTGTAAAGCTATGATCCTATCATGGGACAAAAGAGAAAGCCAAAAAAAGTACCATGGCATTTTTTAAGCATCTACTATGTGCCAGGCACTGTGCTAAGTGCATTTACAAATACTATCTCATTTGATGCCTTTCAACTAGGGGAAAATGAAGAAGGCTTCATGGAGGTGATGGCACCTGAACTGGGCCTTGAAGGCCGGTGCATCCTGTTATTCAGAAAATCCATGCAATGAGTTAGATGTGATCTAACTTTCAGTGATCTGCTGATTCGTTGATCTAGTGGGCCCAGCCTGGCTGGCTGCAAAGACAGATTAGACAGCCCTTCCTCATGTGGTATGAGTCATGACACTAATTGCATTCTACCTCATCCTGCTGTGCACCTCCCCACTCCCTCCTTAGGTTTAGGAACAGTGTAGGAACTGAGAGAAAGAATTTGACCATTGGGCCATTGGGCCCAATTGGGCCATTGGACAGGAGCCAAGCTCCCCTGAAGATGAAGAAGCCATAGTAATAATAACTGTCCATTAGATTAGTGAAAGTATAATATGAGTTAATAGTGCGATGTTACCCGCCCTCTGCCCCACACCCTCCACGAGCCTAGGGTGGAGAGACATAGTGTCCAGCATGAGGGAAGTCACAGCCCTGTGCATTTTGTTTCAGTCAGATCACTACAGAAGTAACATGTACTGTCCCGGTTGTCTCATGAAGGGCAGCTAGGTGGCACCATGGAGAGAGTTTTGGGCCTGGAGTCAGGAAGATTCATCTTGCTGGGTTCAAATCTGACCTCAGACACTTAATAGCTGTGTGACCCTGGGCAAGTCACTTAACTGCATTTGCCTCAGTTTCCTCATCAGTAAAATGAGCTGGAGAAGGAAATGGCAAACCATTCCAGTATCTTCGCAAAAAAACAAAACAAAACCAAACCCAAATGGGGTCATGAAGAATTGGACATGACTGAATAACAACAAAAAGATGCCTTATATTAGGGAGGACATAGACTAGAGCAAAATGGAAAGAGGGGGACCGGAATTGTGAGAGCACCAGAGCTGGCCATAGGAGGATTGGTTGAAGGAAATATTTCAGGGATGCTTAACCAGGAGAAAAGACCTAAAAGGGACATGATTTCTTTCCACAAATATTGGAAGGGCTGTCATACAAAAGAGGGATTTGTCTTTTAATTGCTACTAGAGGACAGAATTAGAAGCATTGAATTGAAATTACAGGATAGTCAATTTTACCTTGATGTAATTATAGTGTGAGTTTTATCTTTGTCCCATCTGAAGAGCTATGGACCCTGTGTTTCAAAAGTCAGCTTTTCCCATAAAGCTTTGGCTTATAAAAAGAAGCTAAAAGGTTAGGAGTAGAAATGACATGGTGATAGACCTTGGGAGACAAAAAAAGGAAGTAAGATGGTCCCTGAGGTGCAGAGAGAACCTGCTTTAGCCTTTGAGGTCCTTTTCCTGGGAAAAGCCTATTTCTTTGGACAGAAGCAGGTTTATGAGGCAGATCATAAGGCAGGAGAGGCTGGAAGTGTCGCTGGAGTGGAGGAGCCAATGGACTGGATGATCTGGTAGTCTATGTACCTGAATGGTATCTGGGAATTCTTGGGTTTGCAGTATGCCTACAGACTGGTAAAAGACTGAGAAGAGCTACAGGCACATAGCCTGTGTGGTCTTTGTTTTAATGCATGTTAATTATATTTCCTGCATTTCTTTGGTAATGAGTGATGAAGGGTAAGTCACTTTTGTGTAGTTGATTCCTTTATGCCATATTCGCATAATTAAGGTTCACTGAAATATGACAGACCAGGATGGAGGGCAGAGTTTTCCCAGTTGGGAGGGGCTTGAGCCAAGATTTTAACTGGATATATCCTCATGGCCCATACCCTTAGACTAAAGAGGGCAGCAGCAGCACCATCAATAACCTGGGGAAGCTGGGGTCAGAGTTAGTATCCCTGCTATTGAGAGAGTGCATAACTAACTGCCCAGGTGAGCCTGGGGATACAGGCACCTGGGATCTCCTCACTGGAAAGGGTCATTTAACTATGTCACAGAGCCCCCTAGTGGTTCAATAAGGAAAAACTTCCTACCAATGAGATGGGTCCCAAAGTATGTTGGGCTGTTGAATTCTGCATCATGGAGGCGTTTAAGCAAAGGATGACCCTGCCATAGATGCTGCAGAAGGGATTCCTGTTCAGATATTGATTGGACTAAAGGGTCTCTGAAATCCCTTCCAGCTTTGAGATTCTGTGTTTTATATAATTGGACCCCAAATAGAATAGCTTCAGTGTTTTCTGAGCTTAGGAGAGACTGTCCTTGAACTTAGACTTGGAAAATACCTAGAAATGGCCGGTGCAGCACCATGGACAGAACACCAGCCCTCTAGTCAGAAGACCTGGATTCAGATTTTAGCATGTCTTTGAGCTTGGGCCAATCACAGCTTCATGGCCCCCAGTTTGCTCATTTTCAAAATAAGCAGTTATGTCTAGATGACTTCCTAGGTCCCTTCCAGCTTTAGATTAATTATTCCCTCATTTTACAGAATAGGAAACTGAGGCCAGTAGAGGAGAAGTAACTTGCCCAAGGTCACATAGCATGTATATAGTTTCCCCAAAGCCATTCTTCCTCTAAATTTGAGGGGAGGGAATTTTTTTTTAAATATCTAGCACCCTGGTTGTTTGTTGGATTATATTGAAGTGTCAGAGTTAGGATTTGAACTCAGGTCCTTTAATTTTGAATGCAGTGCTCTTCTCTTTCCTCCAGATTGCCTCCCATGCTGCTCACACCATGAGATTGTGAGTGGCATACTGATCTTTCTACCTTCTCCTCTCGGCTCATTCAAGGTTTATTCATTTACTTCAAAGTCTGCCTCTTCCAGGGAGTCGTCCCAGACCAGTTCAACCCATGATGAGTGTGCCTAGCAAAGGCCTTCCTACAACAACACTTAACAGACACCCACATTGCTACAGAAGTTTATGGGTCACATTCTAATAGTTTTCATGGGTGCTATTCTTGTTCCCTTGATTATAACCCCCTTGAGAGCAGGAAACTCTGTAACACTCAATTGAGTAAGTAATTACTGCTGTTGGAAACTTTGTATCTTTATCTGTGAAATAAGATGGTTGGAGTCATGATTCACATTCAACTTTCAACTATAATTCTCAGTGATTGTTTCCATCTTTCCCAGAGGGTCTAGGGTAGTATGGATTGAATAGCAGGGGTCTTGGGAAAGCTGTTTGCCTTGTTGCGGGAGGTCCTGGGTATGACAGTCAGCCTCTGAAGGAGAGAACCCTTTACCTTGCCCACGTGATGAGGGAGATTGCCTGGCATCTCCTCCTGGATGTGCATTTGGTTCCAAATCCAATCTCTCTTAAAGCGTGGGCGAACATCCTGGGCCCCTGAGACGGGGAGCTGCTGGGGGAAGCCCTCTGCCTCTGCAGAGGCTCTCATAATGCTTCTGCAGGCTGCAGCCAGGAGAATGATGAGGATCTGCTTCTCCATCTTCCTGGGTCCTGCTCAAGTCTACATAAAGAAGTAAAGACAGATTAAAAAATAGTAATAAGCATTTACATAGCGTTTTAAGGTTTGCAAAGCACTTTATGAATGTTACGTCATTTGAGCCTTACAACAACTCTGAGAGGTAGGCTTTATTATCCTTGTTTCACAGATGGGAAAATTGAGGCACAAATAGGTTAAGTGACTTGCCCAGAGTCACACAGCTACTGAGTGTTTGAAGCTGAAATTTGAACTTGTCTTCGTGAATCTATACCCAATGAATGCCCTATCCACTGTGCTACGTTGCTTGCTTAGTACATCCCACACTGAGCCATCTACCTGCCTAAAAAAAGTCCCATTAATTAAATTAATATTAAATTGAAAATTTTAAATTAAAATATTAAAAACTATTATAGCTGAGATGCATTTGTACTTCGTGCTGAGGTGGGGGGGGAAGCTTTTATATACATTTCTTTCCCTAGCCTCACTAGACTATAAGCCTCTTGAGAGCAGGGCCTCTGTTACTTCTATGCTAAAATAAATGCCAAATAGACATCCAGGCAAAGTGGGATGAGGAATCTGAGCAAAGAGAGAATATTTTCACCTGAAGAGTTCAGAGAATGTTGAAGGCAGAGATTGTGTTGTTATTGTTTTTGAAAATATCTCTAGGCCTAGCACAGTACCTCGTACATAGTAGGTACTTAATAAATGTTTGTTATTTGTTGAGGGGAGGATTCATGGATGAGGCATCTGAGAGGATGCAAGGGAGAGAATACAACTGATGGAGATTGTGGGGAAACCCATGCCAGGCTTGGAAAAAGGCATAAGCAAAGAAATGGAGACAGGAGAGGTAAGGATGACAGTGGCGGATGGAGTTGTTCAGGAGACCATATGAAGGGTACTAGTATGAGATAAGGATTGAGAAGGTAGATCGTAGATGGATTGTGGGACCCTGAATGCCAAGACAAGTTTATACTTTAATTGGGAGGTAATTGGAAGCCAGCACTTATAGATAATTATATATAACTGCATATTATATATGATTATAGAAGATTTTTGAATGGAGGAATTACACAGAGGGAGATCTTGGGCTATTAAATGAAGGATGGATTGGAAAAGAGAGAAGCTAGAAACAAAGAGACCACTTGGAAGTCTATTAACCTCTAGGTGAAATGAGAAAAAGGCCTGAGCTAGGGTGACATCAGTAGGAATAGATGGGAGGTGACAGATGTGGGAGATATTGCATGTCCAGTTACCACAGGACCTGGGAGGACAAGGCAGAGTCAAAGATCATTCCAAGGTTACCAACTTGAGTGACATGGAGGACAGAGTTTCCAATAATGAACTAGAGAAATTAGAAGGAGGAAGACGATGGTTTCAGTTTTAGACCCTGAAGGGCCAATGGGACAAAATTAGGCATGAGGGGTCTTACTTAAAGAAGAGCTTCCTTCTTTCTTTTAGTCTTTGCATGAATTTAGGCTGATTATGTGAACTCAGCTATTTATTTCCTTTTCTGGGCTTCAGTTTTCTCCCTTGTAAAATGAGGGGCTCAAACCACTTGATGTCTAAGCTCCCTCTCAGCCCTAATATTCTATATTCTAAACGTCTTTTGGCTCTCACTTCCTACCTCTTCCTCTTCCCTGATGGATGAATGATTTTCCTTAAACTGTGAATTTCTACTAAAATGTGGCACAGGTTTTGTTTCTGTCTCTTCTCTTTCCTTAAACTTGTGCCTTCTATCTTCTTTCCCCCTTCTTACCAGAACTCAAGGAGTTAAAGGGACATTCATTTTCTATTAATTCCAGTAAGAGGCTCCGTCCAGGGAATTGACCCTGCACTCCTTGAAGTGTGGTCAGCAAAGGCCTGAGAACCGGGAATGTGGAGAAGGAAGATGACGAGGTGGCTGCTTTTGACTGCTGAGGGAACTCATCCTTGGGAATTATCTAGAGAGTGAGAGGTAGCGGCTCTGAGGATTTTCTGCTACATCATCCATTTTTCCCCTTCATGTGGTAGCCTAGTCCTCCCATATCCCCATCCATAATTGCTTTCAGAAAAGAGTCTTTGCTCATTCAAACTGAGGTGCTCATAGTGGATAATGTCCTAATACTTCTCAGAAATGTTTGAATTTAAACTGGAGATATCATATCTTTAGTTAAAGGAATGGTTCTCTAATGGTGGAATTTCAGGTATCTACAAAAGGTTGACAGGAGAATTTTTGGTGGGGGAGGGAGGCCCTACATTTGTGGGCCCCTGTGGCAATCTTAAATAAAGAGCAATGCAATTCTAATTTCCATGGGCTGTGACTCCCCGTAATCCAAATGGCTCTTTGAGAAACAAACACAACCCACTTTGGACTCTGCATAGTTTCCACTCCCAGGCATCGAGGTAGACACTGCCACTGCCAATCGGCTATCGGGCACTTGGTAGCTCTGGCATAAGTCTGAATTTCTTTAAATGGAAGTCAGTTCTCCCAAAAGGTCACAGGAATTGTTTAAAGATTATAGGATCACAGGACTTAGATCTGGGAGGAGCCTTAGACTTCACCAAGTCTCACCACCTCATTTTACATATGAGATCACTTTCATACACTAGATGAAGTTGTCTTCTAGCTCTAAATCTTATCCTCTAAATGTGGGGCTTCTTAAAATTGATGATAATTGAGTCTTTACTTTATCCAAGGATTAGAAATCCACTCTCAAGGTTTCTGAAGTGGGTTTCCATCCACTGTGCATGGGAGTGGATTGTTTATTTATTTCAGTTGTGTCTGACTCTTCCTGACCCCATTTGGGGTTTTCTTGGCAGAGATACTGGAGTGGTTTACCATTTCCTTTGCCAGCTCATTTTACAGATGAGGAAATTGAGGCAAACAGGATTAAATGACTTGCCCAGAGTCACACAGCTAGTAAGTGTCTGAGGCCAGATTTGAATTCAGGATGTTGAGTCTTGCTGACTCCAGGCCTAGCACACTATTCACTGGACCATCTAGCTGCCTTGGAGTTGGTTTAGATGAGTCCCTTCAGACTCTTGAGATCTATGAAATAAGATTGAGACTGACTGAAGTCACCTGCTCCATCCCCTTGCCTTTCAATAACCCTCTCCCAAACCAATTGGCACTCAGTTGGCTTGAGGAAGGTATTTTCCTCTATTACTTGATCTCTAAAGGTGCATATTCTACATCCCTCCTTCATCCCTCAGCTCTTAGCTCAGTAATAATAGTAACATATCACATTTCTATAGTAATTTATAGATTGCCAAGGCATATATTATTTCAGTTGCTCTTCACTGTAGCCCAGTGAAGCAGGCAGCATGGGATTTATTCTTTCCATTTTTAAATACTATTTTATTTTTCCCCCAATTGCATGTTAAAACAATTTTTTAACATTTTAAAAACAAGTTTTGAGTTGCAAATCTATTCCTCCCTCCCTCCTGCTCACTGAGATGGTAAGCAATCCAATATAGGTTATATGGGGCAATCATGTAAAACATTTCCATATTAGTCATTTGGTACAAGAAGATTTGAATGAAAAATAAGAAGGAAAGAAAGTGAAAAATAGTGTGCTTCAGTCTGTATTCAGACAATATCAATTCTTTCTCTGGAGCGGATAACATGCTTTGTCAAGAGTCTTTTGGGCTTATCTTGGATCATTGTATTGCTGATATTCTCTCCATTTTATAAATAAGAGGCAGCCTCTAATTTGTTTTGTGACCCTGGGCCTTTGTAGCTCTGTGGCCCTCACTTTCATGATTTGTCAAATAAAGAGGTTGTTCTATATGGTCTCAGAATGTCAGAACACCAGAGATAGAAGGGAATTTAGGACATTGAACATCCCTCCGCAATAAGGTTCTGTATTCTCTGGTACCTTTTAGCTGTGACATTCTATATTTTAAGGTTCTTTCCAGCTCTGAAATTCTGTGTTTTAAGGTCCCTTTCTGCTTTGACAATTTTTGTTCTAGGGTTCCCTCTAACTCTGACATTCTTTATTCTAAGGTCCCTTCTGGCTCTGACATTTTATGTTGAAATATTGTATGGCCTCAAGGCCCCTCCCTGCTCTGACATTTTATGCTCTAAGGGCCCTTCCAGCTCTGAAATTCTATGTGCTAAGGTCCCTCCAAGCTTTCAAGTTCTAAGAATAGCTGGATTAATGAATCTTCCTACTCCACAGTGATCAAAGTGGCAGCCTTGGCTTCCTTAGCCCAAGTACTGAACTTGTCCTAAATACTCTAGCAGAGCGGGAAAACTTGTGGCCTCGAGGCCGCAGATGCTCCATCCCTGGCCTAGATGAATTCATTGACCCAGGAGGGTATAACCACTGAAGGCTCCTGAATTGTATTGAAGGAAGCTCACCTGGGAAACCTCAGCATCTGCCTGGCAGACTTTCTATTATTGTAAAAGTCACCTGAATAACAGGTTTTCCCTACCTTGGCTGGTCGATCTATGTAAGAGACAGCAGAACACCAGCACCATTCCAAAGAGAAGCAGGTCCAAGTGGGAGAAAGTTCTGAGAAAGGACAAAGAACTGAAGCAGGAGATTGCAGACCTTTCACTAGCTGAGGGAGTTCTGTGAACTCTAGTAATGCTATCATATTTGAATGACTGGCGCCAAACTGGCCTCAGAAAGAGCTGACTACTTCAATGGTTTTCTGAGAAATGTAGAAATAACAGGGAAGGGGTGGGCCCACTGGGCCCACTGGCTCTTCTTCCCCTGGGAGTGAGCTGTGTCTTGGGCCTGGGCTATCTAGGACAAGACCTGGTCTAGGAGTCAGGAGACCTGGGTTATAGGCCAGACTCTGCTTCCAACTTTCTACAGGACCTTGGGGAAGATGCTTCTCTTTAATGAGCCTTCATTTTCCTATCTGTAAGATGATACAGTTGGACTAAATTTCTAAAAACCCTCTTAGCTCTCAGTCTACTATCTAAATGGATAAAGCTCCAAGAGTAGTGATAATTACTTACATTTACATGATACTTCATGGTTCAAAAGTGCTTTGTAGACAATACATCATTTCATTCTCACAACAGTATGTTAATACAACTACTGTTAACCTTATTTTAAAGAGAAATTGACATTCAAGTAGGTTGAAACCCAGGTTATGTGGATCATGGGTGGAGATGCTGTTAGAACCCAGATGCCCTGATTCCAGACCCATTGGTTTTGCCAATATGTCATGCTATGTCAGTGAATAGAACACTGAACCTGAATTCAGAAAGATCTGAGTTCAAATCCTGCCTCACACATGTCTTACTAGCTGTGACCCTGAGCAAATCACTTAACTTCTGTCTGCCTCTGTTTCCTCATCTGTAAAATAGGGATGATAAAAGCACTGATCTGCCAAGGATGTTTTAAAGATAAAATCAGATAACATTCTAAAACACACTGCAAACCTTAAAGCGCTCTATAAATGCTATTATTGTGGTCATGATTATAATTATTCTGCATGGCAGGGGGTGGTAGGGGTACGAGAAGATTTTAGGGGACAATAAGGAAATTCCAGTCCCAGCTCAGATACCCCCTCTGGGTCCAATGTTCTTTCTGTCATAACTGAAGAATCACAGAGTTATAGAATTTGAGAGGTGAAAGAGCGCTCGGTGGACATTGACTCTTACCCATACCAGAAAGGAATACCCAACAAATGATTGTCCAACCTGAATACTTTGCATGGGGTGTGTGTGGGGGTCTCTAGAGAATCTTTAGGCTTTGAGTTACTTTCTGCTAGGTGTGGGATAGGCAGAGGGATTGAGGAGAAAAAAGAAAGAAAAAGCCAATGGAAGTGAAACTTGAAAATGTCATGTGAGAGTTCATGGCCCCTGAGAGACGCCAGTGAGGCCTTGGGAAGTTTCGGTGACTTTCCCATTGTGAGAAGAACCTTCTCTTTTCTCTCTCTGGCACCCCCTCTCTCATCCCCAAGAAATTTTAGGCAGCAGCACAGAAGTGCTCACATTTCAGAACTGTTTTAAGGTGTAAGGTTTACGAATCATTTTCCTGACAGCAATTTGAAGTATCCCTTAATTCCCCTGTGGGGCAGCTAGGTGGCGCCATAGTGCACAGAGAGCTGGGTCTGGAGTCAGGAAGACTCATCCTCCTGAATTCTGATCCTGCCGCAGACACTTACTAGCTGTGTGGCCCTGGGCAAGTCACTTAATCCTGTTTGCCTCAGTTTCCTCATCTGTGAAATGAGCTGGAGAAGGAAATGGCAAACCACTCCATCTGCCAAGAAAACCCCAAATGGGGTCACAAAGAGTTAGACACAACTGAAATAACTGAACAATATCATCCCTCTGCATATGTTGTCATCTCTAATGAGAATGTCAGCTCCTTGAGGGCAGGAACTCTTGCTTGCTTCTATTGGTATCCCTAGAACTTGGTATGGAGCCTAGAACAGGGGTGGGGAACCTTCAGCCTCAAGCCCTCTAGGTCCTCAAGCGCGGCCCTTTGACTGAATCCAAACTTCACAGCACAAATCCCCTTAATAAAAGGATTTGTTCTGTAAAACTTGGACTCAGTCAAAAGGCCGCACCCAAGGACCTAGAAGGCCACATGTGGCCTCAAGGCTGCAGGTTCTCTACCCCTGGTCTGGAATATAGCATACACTTAATAAATGCTTTAAAAAATTTATTCATTAGGAAGTGCATTGAGTGTACTATGAGTATAATGCAATGAATATTATATTCCTTTTACAGATAATAATAATAGTAGTAATAATAGTTACTATAGCAATTGGGTGACTCAGTGGATAGTGTTGGTTCTGGAGTCAAGAAGACCTGAGTTCAAATCCAGTGTCAGACAGTTACTAGCTGTGTGACCCTGGGCAAGTCATTTAACCACTGTTTGCCTAAAAACACCTCTTTCCCAGGGTTGTTGTAAGAATCAAATGAGAGAATACTTGTAAAGTATTTGGCACAGTGCCTGGCATATAGTGAGCGCTATATAAATGTTAGCTATTATTATTATTATGTTACATTAATATTATTATATTATGTTAATATATTATTATATTATTTGAGGTCTGCAAAGCATTTTAATCATCACCCTTGTGAGGTGTGTGCTATTGTTGCTATTTTATAGATGAGGAAACTGAGGCAAACAGGGTTAAGTGACTTGCCCAGAGTCGTGCAGCTGATAAGTGTCTGAGGCTGGACTTGAACTCAGGTCTTCTTGACTCCAGTCCAATATTCTATCCAGTCCAATATTGCCCCCAAGCAGTTGTGGATCACAATTCCTTCCTTCTTGGTGAACTGAGCACAGCTCCCTCCCTCTTGTGTTAAGCACTATCTCATCAACTAAACCACCTCTTTGCCCGATCCCCACCCCAATGACCCTTCCACAAGAACATCCTGTGTAATAATGTCTGTTCAGGCAGACTTCAAAGATTCCCTGATTCCAGGAGTCAGCTTGGTCATTTAGGTTAAGATATCTTCACTAATCAGCCAGCTCTTGCAACATCCCCTCCCAATCTCCCTTTGCCTGAAGGCTTCCCTTTCCTTTGTGATTTGTCCTTTTGTTCCTTTGGGGAGTCTTTGCCCATGTAGATGGGGGTGGGGAGGGGGCTTCCTTGTTGGAGAACGCAATAAACCCCAAGACAAGATTAATACTCTGGGGTCTCATTATTCCTGTGTTACCTACACAGCAAAATGAAGAAACTGAGGACAGGAAAAGGATGTGATTTGTCCAGTAAATAGTGGGCTAAGAATTTGAACCCAGATCTTCTGACTTCAAGCCCAGGCCTGCAGAGATAAGTCCCACCATAGATCCCTAGAAGAGTCAGCTGAGAGCTTAGCCACCATTAATGGGAGAGCGAATTTCCAATTGCTGGGAGGACTTCCCTACCCACCAATATCTCACACTCAGCACATCCAGACCTGAGCTCATACCTTCCCCCTAAACCTGCCCCTCCTTTCAGCATCCTTTTGTCCATCTGTTGATGGCACCACCATCTTCCTAATCACTCAGACTCAGAAACCTCAGAATCAGCTTTGACTAATTTGACCACTTCCTCAAGCCCCCTCCCACTTCCTCCTTTCCCGGACAACATTGCCAAATCGTGTCATTCCTGTCCCCTTGACACATATCTGGAATCCTTTTCTTCCTTTTGGCTCACATGGTCACCATCCTAGCTCAGACCCTTGTGAGAAATAATTCATTTGGATGAATTACTACTTTATTCCCATCAGTATTAATCAGTTTGCTATGATTCCGTAGGGATAGTGATTATAAATTCTGTATATTAGGTCCCAGAGCTGTGAGATGCAGATTATAAGTTCACATGCTTAATCCTAGGAAACTAACTAACTAGAGGCCCTCCACCCTTGTTTTTCCTTGTCATGGTGACCAAGCCCAGTGTGGCGGAGGTGATTCAATTACATGGAAAGTCCTCCAACTTATTTTTGTACCTCTGGACCATTCTCTCTCGTTCAACGTAAGGTGACCATTTTATGCCCATCTTATGCCCACTTAGTCAGTGGAGAAGCCCCATGCTTTGTCCAAGCTGAGACCCTCCACTGCTGACGTACCATTTCTAGCTGATGCATCATTTTTGGTCCACGAAACAAAGTCTATCAACCAATGGGACTCTGTACTTTGTATAGCTCCTTTAGAATGTTTGGATATCAAATCTGGTATCAAGCCTTATAGAAATAAGGCCCAGGAAGAATGGAGCATCTCAGATAGGGAGGAAGATGTGAGATCCACTTCATTAGAGGGGACCATGACCCTTTAATAAAGAGTCATTGGCTCAGAGCTCTGCCTCAGTTTCTTTTCTTGTAGGTTAGACCATTTTAATCCATACATCTTCTTGGCTTTTGATCATTGAAATAGCTTCCTAATTAATTGGTCTCCCTGCCTTCAGTCCTCCTCCCCTCTCCACATAGCTGCCCCCAGATCAATCTTTCTAAGATAGATCTGACTATATCACTTTTTGTCTTAGTAACATGGATGGCTCCCTAGGACCTCCAGGTTCAAATGTATACTCCTCTGACTGACATTTTAAAGCCTTTCATAACCCTGACCCTAACCTCTTTTTCCACCCTTATTACACGTTCTTCTTACACCCTCTTCTCTCTCTGTGTTCTAGGCAAACTCTTCACCTTACTATTCCTGAAGGCTCATGATATCTTTCCTGATCCTTCAGGTTTCTAGTATCTCCCACCATTGCCTTGAATGAATTTGGTACCTATCCTCCCCTCCCGCCATGGTAAATCTCTGAGGACAGGGATTGTATTTCCTTTTGTCTTTGCATATAGTAGGTGCCAATAAATGCTTGTTGATTGACTGATTGATTCCCCCAGGAAAGAGTTAGTTTCTGGGTCCCAAAGGGTGAAGGATATGATTTAGAAAGGCTATCCAGCCTTATACATACTTAGAGGTTACCTGTGAAATGTAATTTTGGGAACAAGGTGGACATGCCTTGGGATTCTATGTCTGTCTTTTCTGCCACATTTGTGCACACAAGAAAAGTACTTTCTCACCACTGTTATCTTTAAATGCAGGGGACAGAGTGAGATAGTCTACACAAGGGGAAAGTCCTTTGAGGGGGTCTTTTGTCCATCAACAAACAATGAT